AGTGACACGCTGATTAGTGAATTGTCCGTTTTCGGTTCTCGAGAGGGCGCCGTGGCCGTTATTTTCCAGGCCTGCGCCCGCCAGGTTTGGGCCTCAGGTCGTTTTCACTAAACCATGTTTTATTAAAGGAGGTCTGTCCATCCCCGAGGGTGGTGACCGTCGCGGGGCGGCACCGTCTGGACCTCCGCCGGCCGCCACGCGTCAAACAGGCGCGCCACACCGTCGCTGTCCACTGGCGTGCCGTGCTGCGGCTCGAGGCCATCTGCTTCGAGTCTTCGCCAGTTCTGGTTCGGTTTCGTGGTTTGATTGGCTACGTCTCCAGAGGCGCACTGGCGTGTTGGGGACGTGTGTCCCAGGCGCCCAGTCCTTATTTCCGGTGCGGTGCCGTTCCCTTCCCTTCGTCCTCATCCTTCCCTCCTCCGTCCATCCCTCCCTCCTCCATTGCTGGCTCCATCCCTACCTCCTCCTTTCCCGCCTTTCTCTGTTTCCTCCTCCTCCTCCTCCTCGTCTTCCTCCTCCTCCTCCTCCTCCTCCTCCTCCTCCACCTCCTCCTCCTCCTCCTCCTCCTCCTCCTCCTCCCTCCTCCTCCTCCTCCTCCTCCTCCTCCTCCTCCTCCTCCTCCTCCTCCTCCCCCTCCCCCTCCCCCTCCCTCTTTTTCGGAAGCCTCCAAAGAGGAATCCTGGGAATGGGTCCGCAAACGGCCAAAACCTCCGAATGACTCCCGCGACGCCTCCGCGCAGCCTCTTCGTTATTGGCCTCCTCCGGAGTCTTTTGGGGACCCGTCGCCGCGTGGGGCCCATCGGTGGCGTCTTGTGCTGTCTGGAAAGTCGGTGGATGCCCGTGTCTGGCCAAGGCAAAGGGCCCCCCCCCAGGCGCACCACCGTCGGACTTCTGCAGGCGGGTGCCGGCGTGAGGACCGCCTCGGGCTCGGCGGGGTCTCTGGCCCTTGCCCCGCTCCCCGTGCCTGGATCGGGGAACCCGTTTGTGGCCGAGGCTCGCCGTGGCCAGAGAAGCCCCGCTGTTACTGCTGCAGCGCTCCTTCTGGCAGCGTGAAGTCGGGCGTGCCCCTCTACCGCAGGAAGATTCAAGCACATTTTAGAATTTGTCGGGGGACCATTTTTTGAACATTTGTGGACTATTTTCTGTTATTTTTGGAGTATTCTTTGTTCAATCGCTTCGCTCATTCCGCCGGCCCATATTGTAGCATCGCTGGCACTTGCTTGCGTGCGTGGGGGGGCATTTGGGGGGCCTCCTGGGGCCGCTTGGGGGCCTCTTGGGGGCCTCCTGAGCGCCTCGTGGGGGCATCTTTGGGGGCCTCTAGGGGCCTCTTGGCAGCTTTTTGGAGGCATCTTGGAGCTCCTTGGCGGCGTCTTCGGGGCCCCTTGGAGCCTCTTGGGAAGCTCGCGGGGGCGAGAGGAGGGGTGATCGATTGCGGCTCCCCCCTCGGAAGCCACGATCCTCGTGAGGGGTGTCGAAAAATTATCCTCCCCTGGAGCTTTCTGGGGGACCTGTCCGGGGATTGCCCAGGGATCCGCCGGGGATCGGCCGGGGTACTTTTCGCCCGGGGACCCCCAGGAGCCGCCACGCGCGCGCGAAGTAGAATATTGTTAAAAACAGTTGCCGGAGATCTTAGCACGCCTCTGGCCCGTTGGGCCGGCAAGTTTTTGGGGGGCACGCCCGACTTAGTGGTAGCATTAAGTCGGGCCTGTCCCCCTACAGGGGGATTTTCGACGGAAAAAAATACCCCCCAAATAGTAAGAAATAGTCCCAAAATAGTCTGGGGACTTTTTTGAGTATTTTTTGACCTTTTTTGGGCATTTTTGGGGTATTATTCCTCAAACAGCTTGCTGAACGGGGTGCTGTTGTGATAGAAGCTAATTCCGGCCGAGGGAAAGCTAAGCAGAGACATCCTCAAACAAATGTGGTGGTCTGGCCCGTTTCGCCTGAGACATCCTCACAACTCTCGTTTCTGAGTTGTCCGGGATTGAGCGTTTCGCCTGAGACATCCTCCTAAATCTGAGCTCTGAGAGGCCGCGCGAGAGGTGGTCCGGGCCGTTTCGCTTGAGACATCCTCGAAACTCTGAGCTCCCAGATGCCGCGCGAGAGGTGGTCCGGGCCGTTTCGCCTGAGACATCCTCGCAACTCTGAGCTCCAAGATGCCGCGCGCGAGGTGGTCCGGCCCGTTTCGCCTGAGACATCCTCGAAACTCTGATCTCCCCGATGCCGCGCGCGAGGTGGTCCGGCCCGTTTCGCCTGAGACATCCTCGAACTTCTGAGCTCTGAGATGCCCTGCGCGAGGTGGTCCGGCCCGTCTCGCCTGAGAAATCCTTGCAACTCTGAGATCTGAGATGCCGTGCGCAAGGTGGTCCGGCCTGTTTCGCACAAGATATTCTCGCAACTCTGAGCTCTCAGATGCTGCGCAAGAGGTGGTCCAGCCTGGGGGCCCAGAAGGCCACATGTTACATATCCTCCATGGGACCCTGCGAGCCTCAGGAGGCCCCAGAGAGGTCCAGGAGGCCGCAGGACGCCCAGGACAGGCCCCAGGGGCCCCCAGGAGATTCCCAGGAGGCCCCAGGAGGCCCTCTATCAGAACGTGTCAAGTTAATACACATCCGGTGTCGATTCGTTGATTTTTCCTGCTCTTGTGCCCCCCCCTCCATTTGGAGAGGCCCAAGCGGCCACAGGTTAGATATCCCCCCTGGGAGCCCCAAGATGCTTCAGGAAACCTCAGGTGGAGTTCAGGAGGCCACAGGAGGCCCAGGAGGAAGCTCCAGGAGGTCCCCAGGAGGCCCAGGAGGCACACAGGAGGCCGCAGGACGCCCAGGACAGGCCCCAGGGGTCTCCAGGAGATTCCCAGGAGGCTCCCAGGAGGCCCCAGGAGGCCGCTTATCAGAACGTGTCAAGTTAATACACATCCGGTGTCGATTCGTTGATTTTTCCTGCTCTTGTGCCCCCCCCTCCATTTGGAGAGGCCCAAACGGCCACAGGTTAGATATCCCCCCTGGGAGCCCCAAGAGGCTTCAGGAAACCCCAGGTGGAGTTCACGAGGCCACAGGAGGCCCAGGAGGAAGCTCCAGGAGGTCCCCAGGAGGCCCCAGGAGGCCCCCGCAACTCGGAGCTCTGAGACGCCGCGCTCGAGGTGGTCCGGCCCGTTTCGCCTGAGACTTCCTCGCAGCACGTTTCGCCCGAGACATCGTCGCAACTCTGGGGTCCGAGATGCCGCGCGCGAGGTGGTCCAGCCCGTTACGCTGGAGACATCCTCGCAACTCTAGGGAGGAGGATGAAGAGGAGGTGGAGGAGGAGGAGGAGGAGGAGGAGGAGGAGGAGGAGGAGGAGGAGGATGGAAGGGAGAAGGAGGAGGCGGATGATGTGCATGAGGGAGCAGGCAGGAGGAGGGGGAGGTCCCAGAGAGCTTCAGGAGGCCGCAGGACGCCCAGGACAGGCCCCAGGGGTCCGCAGGAGATTCCCAGGAGGCTCCCAGGAGGCCCCAGGAGGCCCTCTATCAGAACGTGTCAAGTTAATACACATCCGGTGTCGATTCGTTGATTTTTCCTGCTCCTGTGGCCCCCCCCTGTATTTGGAGAGGCCCAAACGGCCACAGGTTAGATATCCCCCCTGGGAGCCCCAAGATGCTTCAGGAAACCTCAGGTGGAGTTCAGGAGGCCACAGGAGGCCCGGGAGGAAGCCCCAGGAGGTCCCCAGGAGGCCCCAGGAGGCACCAGGAGGCCCCCGCAACTCGGAGCTCTGAGACGCCGCGCTCGAGGTGGTCCGGCCCGTTTCGCCTGAGACTTCCTCGCAGCACGTTTCGCCCGAGACATCGTCGCAACTCTGGGGTCCGAAATGCCGCGCGCGAGGTGGTCCAGCCCGTTACGCTGGAGACATCCTCGCAACTCTGGGTTCCGAGATGCCTTTCGGGATGAAGAGGAGGTGGAGGAGGAGGAGGAGGAGGAGGAGGAGGAGGAGGCATGTTTTAACATGCCATGCCAGCCCGCACTAGGCGGGCACGCAATCGACCTTGGAAACCGCAGTGGGTCTAAAAACCCTGTTTGGGGATACTGCACTCCGGCTATAATTAATTTTTCGTCGAAAATCCCCCTGTAGGGGGACACGCCCGACTTAGTGGTAGCACGATGGCTGCAGCGCATGTTCGAAGGGGCTGTGGGGTCTGGCCGGGCCTGGCCCGCGACTCCGCGGGGGCGCTGGGCGCCTCGTGGCCCTGCCCGGGGTCGAGGTTGGCGGGGGGCCGTGCAGCGGTGGCGCCCGCCCTGGGCTGCCCCACCCTTTGCGGAGGACGATTAATCGGGGGCCACATGCGAACTCTACCCCTACCCCCCACGACTTCTTAGGGGGAGGGTGGGGTTCACTTCGCTCGGGAGCTCTCAAACGGAGTGAACCCCACCCTCCACCTCAGAAGTCGTGAGGGGTAGGGGTAGAGTTCGCATGTGGCCCCCTCATTAATGGAGAGGAAGCATTTTAGGGGAACAAAAAGCGGCATAAACATAAAAACTCGGAGGTCCGCGCGGATTTCTCGGATCGGCGCTGGGGCCACCCGGCGGCGCCTCCAGCGCCGCCCTCGTCGCGCTCCGCGCGCCAGGGAGGGGGGTCCAGCGCCGATCCGAGAAATCCGCGCGGACCTCTGAATTTTTATGTTTATGTCAGTTGTTTCCCCTAAGCATGCTGCCAAATAATTTCCAGATGTCGAAACAATGTTTCAAGCGTGCCTTAAACATGTAAACAACATGTTACAACCTTTTGAGAACATGTTTCTGACATTTTAAGCACAGTTTGAACTCAATGATAGGACTGTTAGGGTGTCCATTGTCATGGCATCCGCAAGCCTACCCACCAGGGCGGCAACGTCGCAGAGCGGATGTCGTTCGGAAAACGACAGGATGGGCCCGGAGGGTCCTGGAGAATTCCGTTACGAATTTCGAAGTGAATTTCGGGCGGATTTTTTTTGGCCAGGAATGAAGACGAAACAACAATCCACGTAAAATTCGCTTCGTTTTCCGCTCGCCGCTTCGGGCACAAATCCACGCAGATTTCCGCTGCAGCACGGCTGCAAGGCCGGTGCAATGATACCCACACTTGCGAGACCCGCTCCTGCGGCGGCTTCAGCTTTCGGTCGATGCTGCCTCCTGGACAAGAAGGGCACCCTCGGCGGCCTCCGCTCCTCTCCGCGTCTGCGGGGGCCATGGCAGTCTTCGTCCTCGTCCTCGTCCTCCGCCTCCGTAGCCGTTTTGACTCAAGCGCAGTCCCCACGTCCGCACCGGCGGCAATGGTCGCGTCGGCGTGCCCTCGGTCGAGGGGGCGCCCCGCCCTCTTGCGGCCTGCCCTCGGCGGCCTGCCCCTCCTCCTGCTCTGCCCGCCCGCCCTCGGGGAGATGCGGCCGCCCAAGCAGCTGTCGGAGAAGGGTCTGCATGCGGCCTGGAGGTCAACCATCACGTCGTCAGCAGCATCAGCGTCAGCATCACCGCCACCATCATTTCCACTGTAATCGCGTCGACATCTTTCGTCCGGCTCGCCGCGCTCGTGCATGAGCCCCCGACCATGGCCATCACACCACAATCACCACCACGACCATCACAGCATCATCGTCCTCAATATCGTATTCTGGTGACCGTCTCTTCGTGCCGAGCAATCTTGTCACGAACGCTCTGGGCAGCACCAACGAGTTGACCTTGGCCTCACCGCGCTGCTCGACCTCGCTCCGATCAAGCATTTTTGTCGAGCTTCGCGCTTCGATCTTTGCGTTTTCCACGGGTCACGCACGGGTGGTGGGCGTGCACCTGGTCTGATTTGTACTTCCACCACTCTTGCGTGCGCACTCCATCATCCTACCCTTTCTCGCCTTCGAGCTTGCTGGCCAATCTTCCCCAGTCTGGCGCGACCAGGGCAGCGCAGTCGCCCCGACCCCAGCTCAGAACGACTCTTGATATACTTATGCTGCGAGCGTCAACGAACTCATCGCTTGTGGGACAGTCACCATGCCCCTCGGCCTCGTCAGCTGCCGATTGCGCAACTCTCTACACAGTTTCCTGAAGCTCTGTAGCACTCCACTCATACCCAAACAAGACAGGGCGCGGCCCCGCAGCTGCGTACATGGCAGTGGACACAAAACTGCACCGTGCAACGTGCCCGCGTAGGTTTACTTTTCGAGACCGCGGAGCAGAGACCAGGCAGGCGATGCTGATGGCCCGCCCTACTCCTTGATGCAAATCGTCATCATTACTTTGCTGCTCTTGGCCGCTGAACTGTTCGCGAGCACCACTCCACTCCAGCATGGTTCTCCAAACACCTGGATTCCGCTCCCGCGATTGAGCGGCATGGCTTGTGCATTTTGCTACCTCGATTGCTCGTCTTGGCCTGCTCCCTCTTCCACAGTGCGCTCTCTCCACGCTCCGCTGGAGGCTCGTCCGAGAACGGACGGAAGGTGGCCTCCACTGCCATCTGCACTGGTGCCAACCTCGAGGCCGACGACCAAGCTTAGGTGTTTCTTCAGGCCCTTCGGGAAAACTGCTACGGCCTGAGTCTTAGCGCACATTTTATATAACATGCAACATTGTTTTGCAATCAATTCTTGCCATTGTTTCTGGTAGGCTTTCCTCGTCGCTACCTTCGCTTCAGTCTATGAGTCTTGTGCTGCGAACCAGGCGCCGATCATGAACGATTGTATCATGGAGCGTGCTTTTTGCACCCCTGGATGCCATCGGCTCCTGAACATTACAACACAACTTGCTGCACTTGGGTTTCTGTTTCCTCCTTGCGTGCTGATGATGACGTATGGCTGACGATGACGTGCAAGCTCTGGCCAGGCTTTACATCTTCGCGTATGCCGACATTTTACCTCAAACGCCTCGCCAAGAGCCGTCTTCGCAGGATTGCTCTGCCCTGCAGTCCACCGCTAGAGCCGCTGGAGCCGCTGCAGCAGCTGAAAACGCATTTTCTCAGAGGCATATCAAATATTGCGTAACACCTTTTGATTGCTCAAGCTGTGTGGATACGCGCTTTCTCAGCACGTCGCATGTCTAATGATCAGGAAAATTCCCGCTCTCAAAGGCCACGCTGTGCCGCCATCAAGCTCTCCTAGGATGTCCCGGCCCCGAAGCTATCTGCGGGAAGGCCATGGTCAGCGAAGCTTGAAGTCGTGATTGGGAGACCTTTGGCGAGAGCGTCTTGAACTCGATGAGAAGTATCATCCGCATCAGACAAGCATCCACTGCTTCCGTTGCCAAGCAAAAGCGATGCTGGTGTCCGCGCTGCGAGCGTCGGAAGAGTGCCTCAGGCTCGGGGCGAGCAGGCAGGCACAGCGGACCCCAGCCCCAGCCAGCAGATGGGCCCACAGCGGCGGGGCGCAGGGCGGCTGAGGCGACGACGCCGTGCCGCTCGCCCGCACGTCCTCCCCGCGCTGCAGGTCCCGCATCGTGTCGCCACGCGGCTGCGACCCCGGTTCTCTGGGGGGGGGGGCACGGGGAGCCCCCCGGCCGGCGGGGCCTGGAGCGTGCACGGAATGGGGGAGGAGGAGGAGGAGGAGGAGGAGGAGGAGGAGGAGGAGGAGGCGGAGGAGGAGGAGGAGGAGGAGGAGGAGGAGGAGGAGGAGCAGCGTGCACGGAATGGGAAGCCGGGTCGGCTTGGGCTGCGCGTCGAGGGGCGGCAGGCTCGCCTGCCTCCCTTCGGGGCCGTCCCGCGGGGCGCGGCGCCGCGCGGGGCGGCGCGCGGCTCTGCGGCCTGCCCTTGGCCGCGGCCCTCTCTCGAGGCGGACGCGCGGCGGCGGGTGGGCGGGGCGGGCGCGGCCTGCTCGCGTCGGGGCCGTCCGTTTTGCAACCCTGGGGCGACCCTGGGGGGGGGGGCCTGGCACGACATGGCCGTCACGACATGGCCGGCATGGGCCCAGACATGCTCGCGTCGTGGCCAAAATTTGGGCGGGAGGTCTTCCGTCGTTTTCGGCCTCTGGGGGCCCTCGCTGTCCCCATGACCATCCAAACACGGCTCGGGATGAAACACTGGTCCCAGGGAAAGGGTCGGGACTTGGCGACCGCAGATTGAACAAATTAGGACGTCGCGCGTCTGGGGGCGAGAGATGGACAGGCATAGTTATGTGGCCGCATGCTTTTGCGGCGCTCGCGTGGCTAGAAGCGCTGGCCAGTCGCACGTGCATCGGCCGCGCGGCCGCCGCACGTTCCGCTCGCTGATCCAACCATGTGCGTCTTCAGTTTCCTGGCTGGGTGCCAGCGCAACGTCCCAGATGTGTCGGTGCGAGGCGGGGTCTGGAGCGCTGGGAGGCGGGGTCGCGAGCGCTGGGATATTCCGAAGTTGGCGACGGGGCCTGCTCGGGGCCTCTCCCGCCCGGGAGCGGGGGCGGAGGCGCAGTGCCTCGCAGGTGTGCGGGTCCTGTCCGAGGGCACGCGGTCTGCAACTCCAGCAGCGCCCGCAGTGGCGCCAGATCATGACGATGATGATGCTGATGATAATGCTGATGCTGATGGTGATGGTGATGGTGATGGTGATGGTGATGGTGATGGTGATGATGATGATGATGATGATGATGATGATGATGATGATGATGATGATGATGATGATACGCATCATCATCACCATCATCACCACAATCACCATCGCCATCACCACCATCACCATCACCATCACCATCACCATCACATCACCATCACCATCACCATTCACCATCACCATCACCATCACATCACATCACCATCACCATCACCATCGCCATCGCCATCGCCATCGCCATCACCATCACCATCGCCATCGCCATCGCCATCGCCATCACCATCACCATCACCACTACCATCACCATCATCATCACCATCACCATCATCATCACTATCACCATCACCATCACCATCACCACCACCACCACCATCATCATCATCATCATCATCATCATCATCATCATCATCATCATCATCATCATCATCATCATCATCATCATCATCATCATCATCATCATCATCATCTTCGTCATCATCATCACCATCATTATCATTATCATTATCTCTGTCATTGCTATGGTCATTAACGTCATTATCATTGTCATTATCATTAGCATTCGCATTGTCATGATTTATCATGATCATTATCATTATCATTCTCATTATCGTTATCATCATCGTCATCGTCATCATCGTCATCGTTATCGTCATCGTCATCGTTATCATCATCATCACCATCATAATCGTCATCATTATCATCATCATCACCATCATCATTATCATTATTATTGCCATCATCATCATCACCTTACCGCCAGCACAACCAATATCACTTTTTTCGTGATCACCATTTTGATCAGCACCACCAGTATCCATCATCCAGCACCATGTTTTTTATCACCTTTATCACCTCCGTGACCTTGATCGTCATTACCGTCATTGTCCTGCACCATAGCTGCCATCGTCGAGGTACCTCACCCATAAAGACTTGAACTTGCTCGGAGACTGGAGGTTCGACAAGAGTTTTCTTCTGGATCTCAATAAGAGGTTGGCAGGCCGTCACGTAGGCATCATCGACAATTTCTTCGTGCCAGAATTTGCAGAGCTGCTTCACAACGAGTCGGTGAAGCATCTCGCGTGGGGCAGGGACTTTGGCGATCCTTTTGAGAGCACGCCATTAGGTCCACTAGGCATGAAGGAGTACAACAAACATTTCAATCCAAACGAGCGGTGTGTGTTTGTGGAACGGGCGCTTGGCAGCGAGTCATTCTTCCGCTACAATGTCATTGAGAAGCCGAAGGACGTCGAGGATGACAAGCTTCCACTGGACGAGCTGCCAGGCCGCATGGCGGTCCAAAAGCTCTTCCGGCAGCGCAAGTGGATCAAGGGATGGACCATACTCCTCACTGGCACCGACAAGGGCACTGACGGCCTTTCCATGAGCAGCCCATATTTTCGAGAATATCGCGCCGGAGACTACATCAACTTTCACACCGACGTGGGCACTGAGAGGGGAAACCTGAATCGAAAGTTCTGCTTCAACTACTGGACGCCGTCGCCCGGCTGGAACCCTGACTGGGGAGGCAGTTTCGTTTGGTGCGGCGTGGGGGTGCAGAACCCACAGGGGACTGGGGGCTACTTCCCAACGGCGTTCCGGGCGCCCACCCGCTACAACCAAGTGGGCATGTTCGTTCCGTCACGATGGGCCTGTTTTCCACCACCACCACCATAACCTGGATGGGGGGAAGGAGGAGGAGGACAAGGAGAAGGAGGAGGAGGAGGACGAAGAGGAGAAGGAGGAGGAGGAGGGGAGGAGGAGGAGGAGGAGCAGGGGGAAGAGGAGGACCCCCCCCTCCAACTTAATTATGGTGGTGGTGGTGGAGAACAGGCCCATCACGTCAGAGGACTCGTGGCACATCGTCGACCGGGTGAGCGATGCAGCGGATCGGTCCCTCCACCGCTTCTCCTTCACATCCTGGCTGGAGGAGAGAGGGCCTCCGCCGGGGTCGGTGGAGCTCTGAGGGCCTGGGAGGCAAGAGGGCGGTGCTGCCGGCAGGACGACGGGAGCCACGGAGCCTGCGAGTCACGCCGTGGTGGGATCGCTGCAGCACGAGCAGGAGCTCTGCTGCAGCGTCCGGTCTTCTGGCAGCGACCGTTTAGGTCGCCATTCCACTGCAGCTGTCATTCTACCAATCCCGTGCTTCTGCATTATAGCGTGCGAGGTCCGCGATGGGGAAGGGCAAGCAGCAGCAGAAGCGTGATGCTGATAGCGCGAGAGTCGAGCGAACTGCGTCAGCATCGCTCCTCTCCGTTCTTCCTCTCCCTTTCTCCCCGCCTCCCTGTCCTCGTCCATGCTGCTGCTGCTGCCTACCATCTCCTACCCTCTCCTCGTCCTCATCCTCCCGCCCTCCTCTTCCCCTCCTCTTCCCCTCCTTCTCATCCTCCTCGTTGTCCCTCCTCATCCTTCCTCCTCCTCCTCCTCGCCCTTCTCCTCGTCCTCCTCCTCATTCTTCTTCCTCCTCCTCATCCTTCCTCCTCCTCCTCCTCCTCGCCCTTCTCGTCGTTTTCCTGTAGCAGCACTGTGTAGCGGGTGGTAGCTGGAGTGGAACAGAGGGTGCACTGCTATTGTGAATCCAGATTGGCCGTCAATTTTGTGGCTCAAGCGGTTTTTCTTATGGCGGCGAATGTGAGATCTCGGCTGGGGCACTTGTTTCCAGAAGCCCGCTCCCGTCCCCGCGCCTCCTTGGGGCCCAGACCTGCAGGTCTCGCCATGTGCGCTGGCCATCTCGACCACAGCCAACGCGTGCCTCTCGCAGACAGATCTCTTGGGGACGCCTGTGCCGCTGGGCTCGCGCGTGATCGCGGCGGGGATCGGCTTCCTACTGGGCATTTTTTCTTTTCGGTCTTAGCAGTGCATGCGACTGTGCAGCTGCTTGGTTACGTTCCGAGTGTTGGTGTGGGGCTTCGGCAAGGAGAGCAAGCGGTGAGGTCTGCAGTTCCCGACATCGGCCATGGCGCTGGAAGGACGTTACATTCGGCGGGTGCTCAATCTCAAGCCGGGGGACGTGGTCTTCGTCGATTACGGCGTGGAGGGAGAACCTTGGCATGAGCGCGTAATTCTGGCGGAGGTGAAAAGTGCTGCGTACATCAGCGTCACGGCAGACGGCGACAACGACGACGAGACGATCGACTCCCTGAATCTGGCCGATTTCAAGCAGGCGGTCCCCGAGGGGGGCTGCTTGCAGGCCTGAGGACAGCCGGTCTACCGCTTCAGGGCGCGGGTCACCAGGGACAAGCTGGCAGACCTGTTGCCTTGCGGCGGAGGCCCTGGAAACGCGCGGGCTGGCCAGGGCTGGCCAAGGGCTAGGTCTGGAGGACGAGCCAGGCGAGGTTCCGCCTCTGCCCCCATCCGCGGCGGCGCCGCCTGTGGAGGACGGCGGTGCCAAGCAGCCGCGCCCGGCCGACTGGTGCTGCGTGGTGGCGTCCTCGGAGGTGAGGCAGGGCGTGGTGTACTCCCTGCCCGAGTTGTTGGTTACGCCATCGGAGGTCTTCTGCGGCGTCGGCGCATTCGGTTTCTACGACGCGGGGCGCAATGGGGGAGTCGGCGATGATGGTTCGCTGGACGTCGTGGGAGGATGCTGGCGAGGCTTTGCAGACCTTCAGCGGGCTGGTGGCGCAGGTTGCCGCGCCCAGCGGCTCCCGGACGCCACCCCTGGTGGTGGAGGGCGCGCGCACGCTCCCGATCCTTCGTGAGTCGGCGGGCCGTCGGTTCAGGACCTTGAGTAGCGTGGCCGAGAACGCCGACAAGTGTGATTTCGACGACTGGGTCCTCTGGGGCCTTCGCACGACGTTGTACGTGGCGTCGGAGATCTCGAAGATGAGTGGAGGCCCGGTCCAGCGCCACACGATGTGGAAGTATGAGATTCAGTTGACCGACGAGGAGCACAGCGTGGCTGCCTACGAGATGCCCTCGGATATCCTGAGCTGGCCTGCGCCTGCGCCCACGTGGAGTGGCCAACTTGGCCAGCATGGAGGCGCTGGCCTCGCACGTGCAGTTCATTGGGCACAGTATCAAGAAGAAATGGGAGACGGCGAAGGATCTCGACTCGCAGGATTACTACCTCGGGCGCGCGCGTCGCACGGGCGGCGCCATCGTGAGCCTGGAGTTGCTCATGTGGGTGGCCGAGTTGGCGGCAACGGACTCGGCGATCTTGAGGGGGGAGCGGGGGGCAGCGGAGGAGCGGGCCCCAGCGCGCGCTCCTCCAAAGAAGTCATGAAGATGGACGAGGCTGGAGCTTGGCCGACTTCAGTCGGCACCAACAGCTCGAGGGGCTTGCCTCGCAGAGTTGCCCACATGATCGGCTGCGGGGGTGCTCTTGGCCGCCGCGTGAGCAACTGCATGGCCAACAACCTGCGCGGGGACGGCGAGTTTTGCTCGGCGGCTCGTCCTTCGGAGACGCTGTTTCCGCAGCGTGATCTGGCGCGCGGTGCACGACGATCCGCCGCCAGACGACGTCCCCAGCCCCGAGGCAGCCCTCAAGGAGTTGCTCGGCACGGGGGCCCAGGGCTACGGCCCAGACGGCCCCGCTGCGGTTGCGCCGTGTGATCGCCCCTGGTCTCGTGGCCTGAGTCGGCGGCCGCCTCAGCTTGCTTGCGGTGCTACCAGAGCCGGATTGCCAGGAGGTGATCGACGGTGGACGTTCGCTTTTGCTTCGTGCTGATGAAGGCCGTCTAGGCACCGCCGCGGCGTGCTGTGATGAGACCTTGCGCACCAACAGAGACGAATGCGTAACGTTCGTCCAGGACTTGCCGAGGCGGGGCGCGGTCGAGTTGCGCGCTCATAGTGATTTTGCAGAGGGGGTCTTCTTCGTGAAGACAAAGGAGAAGTCAGGTCGGCATGTGGCGGTCAACCAGTCCCTGAGGCGTCCGACCTCCATCCACCTTGCCTCGACCGCGGTTGTGGGCTAGAGTGCCGAGGAGGGCGACGAGTCGGAGTTTACCGTGCAGGACATCGCGGGTGTCTCCTATCATTCCTGGGTACCTGACTACATGGCGCTGTGGTTCGGTGCGCACCGGCTCCGTGCCAGGGGGCCAGCTGGTGACGACGGGGGCGTGGGTCTACCCGTGTCGCGAGGGTCTGCCCGTGGGTTTCTCGCAGGCCACGTGGATGGCGCAGCGGGCCCATCGTGAGTTGCTCGGCAGAGGTTTCTGGGAGGTCCTCTGAGGGGCCGCTGGGAGCTCTGGGATGGAGCTTCTGGGGAGCTTGACGGTGCGCATGGGGGGACTGTTCGCCGCGGCGGCCCGGGCACCGTCGAGGGCGTGCTGGTGCGCCGCCGGGCGGCTCTAGAGTTGTCGTCGACGCCAATGCCGCGCGTTGCGCGCGTGGACAAAGAGATCTTCGTCTCCTCCTGGGCGGGCTCCTCGGGGGTCGCCCGGAGGCGGGCGGCGAGGTGGTGGCCGGCGTCGGCCTTCCCTTGTGCGAGGTTGAGGAGGGGCATAGCGTGGTGGGTGCGCTCGGCTTGGAGCTGGATTGCGTCAGGCTTCGGGCTGGTCTGGCTCGGCTGAAGCGCTGGCGCGCCCACCTTGGCGCGCTGGTGCCGCTTCGGCGTTGTCGCGTGGCTGGCTGGGGGGCGGTGGAGATGGCCGGCCATTCCGCCCATGCCGTGCTGCTGGACAGGCTGGCCCTGTGCGTCTTCAGGACCGCGTGCGACTTCGCGAGGAAGCACTGCCTGGCGTCGGCGCCAGCTCGGCCGTCCGTGCGGCAGGAGCTCACCAGCGCCATGTGCCTGTTGCCGCTGTTCAAGGTGCAGTTCGAATTGCCATGGTCGGCGGTCGGGGCTGGTCGCCTGCTCGGGCGCGACGCTCAGGGGCTACGCGGTGCAGGGGGCAGACATTGGGCCCAGCGCAGTCTGGGAGGTCGGCCGCTCGAGTGAGCGATGGCGTTTTCGCGCCGAGCAGGCGAGGCGTCCGCCGGGGTTGGCGCTAACCCTTGAAAGGACATCCGTTTTGGATGGCCGCCAGAGTCCGTCATTGATCGTGAACCAATTTCAGACGGCCCCGCGGAGCTAGCTTATCGAGACATCCTGGGGCCCGGGCAGCGGCCAGCGTGGAAATCAGCATTGATCATCATTTCCCCGAGCTCCCCGCGTCGGTCGTCGAGGAGGCAGGGTCGGGGGCCGAGCGGGCGAGGATGTGTCGCAGGAGGAAACTTGTTGAGCTGTTTTATTTGGGTAGACGAGGACATGGCGACAAGTTGAACGCCGTCGTCATCGTCGTCGCATTCTGTGCGACGACATGAGCATGGTGTTGAGTCTGGAGGGGTCGAACCTTGTCGCCGCCTGTGCACTTCTTGCTCAGGAAGTGGGCCGCCCTGTCCTTGGCCGCCTTCCCATGCGCGAGTGCGCGATGGGTCGCCAGCGGGCCCAACTGACCAGATGAGCCCAGCGGGTGGTTCGACCCGCCTGCTGAGATGGCAGCCGCTGCTGCGCTGGGGGCCCGGCGGCGAGCGGGTTCAGATGCGCGCTCGAGCGCCGGCCTCTCGCGACGGGTGGCGCGCCCGAGATTGGCGTCCCCTGGCTGGCGAGGGTACTGCTGCGGAGAGGCGTCTCGCCCGGGCGGCTGGCGACCCCGCCGAGAGTCGGGCCGCTGCCGCCCGCGGCTCGTGGGAGTGGCCTGGGTATCCTCGACTGGGCTTCGTCGGCAAGCTGTCGCCGATCCCGCGCGCGCCAGACCGACCTCCCTCCGCCGCTTCCCTTCGGGCGCGCGGGGCCGGGCCGCGTGGTGCTGGGTCGGGGCCGGTGTTCCCGCGACGTTGGAGCGGAAGAGCATCGCGCTGAAGACGAGGTAGGACTACGGGGGGAGGTTGCCGCGCGTCGACACGTTCTGAAAGATCAATGGGCTCGAGACGAAGAGCAGAGCCGACTTGGATGGGGGCGCTGGCCGACTGCGTGGATCTGCTGTTCTCCAGGGGGGATCCGTCCGACAGCGGGGCCACATTGCTGGCGCCGATCGGGCATCGCGACCCTCGGCTTCATCGCGCAGGCGGGCTGCAGAATCTGCCCAGGGCGGCACTGGCGCAGCGTGGTTGGCGACGGCCGGTGCCGGCGGCGACGCGAGCGCCAGCGCCCTGGGCGGCGGTGGCCGCGATGGCTGCGGCCCTGGTGCACGCGGGGCAGAGGCGGGCCGCGCTGGGCGTCGTGCTCGCGGCGGGCGCCCACTTGCGGCCGGGCGAGCTGCTGTCGCTCAGGGTGCGCCGTGTGGTGTTTGCACAAGGCGCCGCAGGCGGCGACCCACCGCTGGGCGTCGCTTGTGTTGCGACCAGAGGAGGAGCTCGTGGCCGGCAAGACCAAAGGGTTCAGCGGTCCGACCCTCTTCGACAGCCCGTCAAGGTGCTGCCTGGGGCCGTTGGTGGAGAGGCTGGCGCAGGAGCTGCCGCCGGTGTGGCGCCTTTTTCCGTGGTCGGGCGCCGCCTTCGATGCCGCGTTCAAGGGGGCGTCCGCCGTGGTGGTTTGGCCAGCTCGGAGCTCGGCCGGGTATTCTGTGCCGCTCCGGGCCGTCGCGCGATTGGCTCGCCGGGGCGATGTCGCCGGGGGCCATCGAGCGCCCGGGCCGCTGGGCGTCGGGCTTCAGAGCCCAGCGCTACGGGAGGGGCTGGCGGGTGATGGGGCGGCAGGCGTTGCTCGATCGTGGGCGGCAGCTGCGCGCGGCCGAGGCCGACATGCAGCTCGGGAGCGCGCCGCGAGACGGGCGCGTGGGCAGCTTCGCTCGCGCGCGCCAGGACGTGGACTTCGCGCGAGCTCGCTGGAGCTTGGCAGCGCTTATCGGCCGCTGTTCTTGGAGCTGTTGACAGGGGGTAGAGGCCCGGCGAGTTCCGTGCGACGTCGTGGTGGGGGGGCCAGGGCTTGGGAAGTGAGGGAGTCGCCGGCGCCGGACTTGCGAAAGAAGAAACGATTCGTTCTGTGTTGGGGCCTGTGGCCACGTGCGAACTGGGCCCATGTGGGCGCGCCGTGCAACAGTTGTTTGGGCGCTCGTAGGGGCAAGTTAGGCTCCCCAGGCTGTCCTTCGCGCCTCCGTCAGTATCCCTGTGGCCTCCCCAGCTTTCCCGCTGCAGACGCTGACAAAGTTCGAGTTGGCAGCGCCGTGCCGGGTGTCGCTGTCAGAACCAGTTGTGCGTGCATCAAGGGCGGTTGCGTAGTTTCAGTTGAGAATCCTGGGCCGTCTTGGCTTTGGAGGCAGCCTCGGATGAAAATGCTGTTGCAACGAGCCTCGGTCGCTCGCGCAGTATATTGTGAATTCGGCACCCCTTGTCGCGAAGACAGAACGGATGCATGCTGGGATGATGGCTGAAGATTTGGATCCGGTGGTGGCGCAGTGCTCCAGTCCAAAGTGTAGATGCTCGGGCAAGCGGCATCAGGTGCTTGAAGGCCCTCACCTCCTCTCGCGCTGGGCCTCGTGTGTAGACGGTGCCAGACTTTGAAGTATTTGCTCCTCGCGGGGACTGGGTTCTGGCATGCCGAGGCAGGGGCCATGGCCCCACCAGAATCCCTGGCATGTTTTTCCCCTTCGAAGAAGCGGCACGGCTTGTGCCCAGAGGGTGAAGTAAGTGCTGCTTCAACCGCCAGATCGCAGACTGTGGCGGTTATTGGCAGGATTTTTTCGGACGAGCTGGCTATCTCAGTTGGCTCGCGCGGTGCTCGTACCGTCGTGCTGGTCAGTGCGACCGCGGCACCACTGCGAGAATGATCCTGGCCCTGGGGAAACAAGTGAATGTAGCAGCACTGTAGCGGGTGATAGCTGGAGTGGGGCAGCACGTGAACTGCTTTCGTGAATCCAGCTTGGCCGTAAATGGTCTGGTTCAAGCGGTTGTTCGCGTGCCCTAACCCAGCCCGTTGCGTGCCTTATCACATGCTGAGTTTTCATCGCCCCCAAATCGGTTTCACGGAAGTCTGTGGCAAGAGTTGTTGGGCGGATTATTTCTGTCAGTTGGTTTACGCGGTGCTCGTATCGTCCAGCTGTTCAGTGCGATCGCGGCACCTCTGCGATAATGATCCTGGCAATTGGGAAAACATGTGCGTCCTCCTTCTCTTCCCCCTCCTCCACCTCCTCCTCCTCCTTCTCCTCCTCCTCCTTCTCCTTCTCCTCCTCCTCCCACTCCTCCTCCTCCTCCTCCTGATCATCATCCTCTTCTTTCTCCTCCTCCTGCTCCTTCCCTCCACTTCCTCCCCCTACCTTTCCTCCTGCTCCTCCTCTTCCTCCCCTGCTCTTCCTTCTCCTGCTTCTCCTCCTCCGCCTCCTCCTCCTCCTTTTCCTCCTCTTCCCGCGGCCCCCTTCTAATCCTTCCTTCCTTGTACATTTATACACTATGAATACTACTCTTCTCTCTCCCCTGGTGGTGTCCAGGAAATGTTCGGCCCCCCTGCGCGTATCGTTTTTTCACACAGGATTCACAGGAAACGGGTTTTTGCATAAATGCTGCTCTCGCTGAAGCGCGGGCTTGATTTTCGGGCTACCTCGTTCCGAATCCCCGATGCAGCGCTGGCCTCATCTCCGCGCTTCCGTTCGTTCCGAATCGCGCTCCCGCTTCAGCGCTAGCGTCATGATTCCCAGCGCCATGCCACGGCATGGTTTTCGGTCCTTCCAAATACGCCCCAACATCAAACAAATGCCCCCCCGAAGAAACAATCAGAGGTGATTGCACATCCGGTGTCGGTTCGTTGGTTTTAGGGGCCGCAGAAGCCCCCCCACTTATGGTCGTCGCCGCACCATGCTATGCCAGTTTACGCGTCCTCATTTCCGCGCTTCCGCGCTTGTTTTTTTTGGTTGTTCAGAATGGTGCTGTTGCTGAGGCGCTGGCTCTTTTTTTGGGCTACCGCTCGTTCCGAATCGTGCTCCCGCTGCAGCGCTGGCCTCATTTCCGCGCTTCCGCTCGTTCCGAACGGGAAGTGATTCCACATTCGGGGTCGATTCGTTGATGTTTTGGGCCGCAGAAGCCCCCCCCCCACATTGGGGCGTCGCCACGCCATGGTATGTCATGCTGCGCGTTGATCTTCAACACCATGCTACGCCATGTAATGTTATGCCATGCTATGATATCCGATTGTGCGAATAGAGAGGAGATCTACGCCATGGTAAGGGGTGGGGGGGAGGGTTAGCACGTCAGATATGACGCGAGCGCACCTAGCTTGTCCCCCTCCCCCTCCCCCTCCCCCTCCTCCCCCTCCTCCCCCTCCTCCTCCTCCTCCTCCTCCTCCTCCTCCTTATCCTCGCCGCGCCAGGCGCTCGTGCCATGGGTGTGCGCCTGGGTGCTCTTCGCCTCGGCCTGGGAGCCCAGCCGCAGCGACGCCAGGCGGCGGCGCCCGCCCTGCCCGCTCTGGCTTTTTTTTGCGCGGGGCTTTTCTCTTGGGGGGAATGATTGTTAGGGAGGGAGGGAGGGAGGGAGGGAGGAGGGAGGAGGGAGGGAGGGAGGGAGGAGGGAGGAGGGAGGAGGGAGGAGGGAGGGAGGGAGGGAGGGAGGCGGGAGGAGGGAGGAGGGAGGGAGTGAGGGAGGGAGGCGGGAGGAGGGAGGAATAGTTATCGTTGATCCCCCCCCCTACTGGTGCTCATCGTATTTGTTGAATTGAAGTGCCCCGCCTCAGGGCTCGCACCCCGCTTTTCACCGGGTGAAGTATTCGTGCTCGAACTGGGCCCCTGGCCCCCGGCTACAACAACAACGGCTCCCGCCTGATACGCCCCCACAATTTATTGAGAGATCGCGCTCTCGCGCGAGGACCTCCTCGCAATGTTTGAGACATCCCGCTCTCGCGTGGGATTTTCTTCACAATTTATTCACACACCGCTCACGATTTCGCTTTGGCTTTCTCACGATTTGCTTAAATCGCGCCATCGCTCGTTCTCGCGATTCATGCAGGACTCACGCTTCAGCAGACCGCCTGCTCGACTTGGCCGCCTGGGCCCGCCTTCCAGGTTGAAGGAGGAGGAGGAGGAGGAGGAGTTGGAATTGGAGGAGGATGGGGGTGAGGAGGATGTCGATGAGGGAACAGCTCGGCCAGGCGAAAGTCGGCCAGGCTGAACTCGGCAAGCCGGCCGAGTTCAGCATGGCCGAGTTCAGCTGGCCGAGGTCAGCCTGGCCGAGTCTTTCTTGGCCGAGATTTTCGTTGCTGCCTCGATGACAGGGGTCCGAGGGCACGTTTGCTTCGGTAGCAAATCGTGGGGCCCTGATTGTACCCTTGCAATTCCATCATTAGAGTGCGTTAGCGTCCATTAGCGTCTGGTAGTCCATGAGATAGCGCCGATTTAGCGTCGATTGGCGTCGACTAGCGTCGATTAGCGTCGATTTAGCGTCGATGAGCGTCGATTTAGCGTCGATTAGCGTCGACCAGCGTCGATCCGCAAGGGACAACAAAGTGGCATGGGCGGCTCCCACGAGTTGCCACCGAAGTTTCTGCCTGCTCGGGCCTCCTGGGACTCCCTTGTCGCCACGGCTGGACATCCGCCTCGTCATGCGGTTCAGGACGTGCTTCCTGCAGAGGTTCAGGGGCCGATTTCCCTGGAGTGATTCGAGATCCGGTTCACGATTCACGTCCCGATCCGCCAACCCCCCTCCGCGCCGTGAGAACATCACGACGGTCTTTTGCCTAGCCGTCTTCGGCCCTCTGGGGGGGCCGCCTTGTGGACCGCGGGGCTGCCAGAAAGCGACCTGTAGGATTAAGTCGGGCCTGTCCCTCTACAGGGGGAATATTCCCAAATGGTCAAGAAATAGGCTGGGGACGATTTAGAGACGATTTTTTTGTCTCATTTTTGAATACTTTTGGGCGTATTTTTTGATTATTCTCTATTGACCGAATTTTCGTCCAGCATCGGCCAGTCGAGGGACCTGCCCGACCCAGCTATAGGATCGGGCGACGAGATCCATCCGGGCCGCGTGCATTTGGGCGACCCGGGATGGGGCGACCCAGGACTCGGGCGAGGACCTCGGCGGCCCCCGGCGGGGGCCACCCGCCCAGACTCAGGAGGGAAAAAAACTCACAGACACAATCAATCGTCGATTCCCCAGAAAATATGGGAAAACATGCGAAGTGGGGGGGGGAAGACGAAAACCCAGAAAATATGGGAGAATATGGGGAAGCCTTTTATATGTGTGTATTTATTTGTGTGGCCTAGGGCCACCCGCCCAGACCCCCGACGGTATGATCTTTTTTCACGACGTCCACCCCCAGAGGTTTTTCACGACGTCCACCCCCGACGACCGGCCTCTCGTCCCGAGTCGTTTCTTGACGAGGAGGAGGAGGCGGCGGGGGAGGGGAGGAGGAGGAGGAGGAGGAGGAGGAGGAGGGGGAGGAGGAGGAGGAGGAGAGGGGGAGGGAAGGAGAGGGAGGAAGGAGGAGGAGGAGGAGGGGGAGGAGGAGGAGAGGGAGGAAGGAGGAGGAGGAGGCGGAGGAGAGGAGGAGGAGGAGGAGGAGGAGGAGGAGGAGGAGGAGGAGGAGGAGGAGGAGGAGGAAGGGGGAGGGGAAGGGTCCCGAGGCCGGCGAGGTCCCCCAGAGGCCGAAGATGGCGAGAAACCTCCCGTCATGGGTTTTTCATTGCTCGAGGGGGTCCGGGAGGGTCGCGCGCATCCCAGGATCGGGCGACCTCTAGGTTTCGGGCGACCCAGGATCGGTGTAGACATACATGCGCCCCTGGCCTCGGCAGACGGGGGAGGGGTGCAGCGCCGCCGCTCCTGGGGCCGCGGCATGGGCCGGGCCAGTCGCGGTGGGCACGTCTCGACCTCACTGCTCGTGGGCTGTTTGGTGAGAGCCTCGAACCTCGACGATCGTCGTCGCCGTCGGCGTCGTCGGCGCCGTCGTCGCCGGGCGGCGCGGCCGCAGCTCGCCGATGCTGGCGCAGCGCGGCCTCCGGGCGCACGCCCCGGCGACGCCGCCGCCCGGGCCGGTCCTGGCGAAAGGGTCCAGGCCTCTGGTCTAGGCCTCCTAGATGGGGTCGGAGTGGATGGGGTCGGAGGATCGCGGCGCATCGCCGATGCATCGACGATGCGGGTCGATGCGGAGCCGGATTTGCTTCACGCCGACGTCGCCGATGCACCGCCGACGTTGACGATGCATCGCTGGTGCATCGCCGATGCATCGCGGATGTATCGCCGATGTATCGCCGATGCGGCGCGATCTTGCGACCCCATGTGCTCTGACCCCGTCTATGAGGGCTCTATCTGGGGGCCCACGCCTGCGGACGCACCGCGCGACGGCGGGGCTTCTTTCGGCGGCAAAGTCCGGACCCTGCCCTCGCCGGTCAACGAGTCAGGCAACTCGATGGGCGGCGGGGGTGGGGCTCGGAAGTCGCCGAGCATGTGGCGGAGTCCGAAGCCTGCCCCTGCCTGCCATGGGTTCAGGAGAATCGATGGTTGGTGGGGATAGGGTTCAGTCGGGCGTGTCCCTCTACAGGGGGAATGCTCAAAAATGGTCAAACAACATAGTATGGGGACGATGTTGTCGACACTTTTTTTTGTTTGTTTAAAAAGGAATATATATATATATATATATATATAAGTTTTTGTTTATTAGCATTATTCTCATTATTATTATTATTATTATTGTTATTATTATTAATATTATTATTATTATTATTATTATTGTTGTTATTATTATTATTATTATTATCATTATTATTATTACTATTATTAATCGACAAAAATTTGCCTGTAGGGGGACATGCCCGACTCGAGCATAGGGTTCGGATGTCGCCGCCCATCTGGCTTTGCAGTCCGACTCGACCCGCTGCGCGCCCGTCCCGGCTCCGCCTCAGGGGCGACGGCGCTCCAGTGCAGTCGCAGTGGGACGTTTGGGGATCGCTCCTCCTCCTCCTCCTCCTCCTCCTCCTCCTCCTCATCCTTTCAATTCATCCTCTGCCTCCTCACTTCTTCTCTCCTCCTCCTGCTCCTCCTTGCTTCTCCTCCTCCTCCTCATCACTTCTCCTACTCCTCCTCCTCCTCCTCCTCCTTCTCCTCCTCGTCATCATCGCTTCTCCTACTCCTCCTACTCACTCCTCCTCCTCCTCCTCCTCCTCCTTTTTGCTCTTCCTCCCCTTCCTCCTCCTCCTCCTCCTCCTCAATTCGACTCTTCCTTTACCTCCTCCTTGCCCTCACTTCTCCTGCTCCTCCTTCCGTACGCACCGCTATGACAGCCGTCCTTCAGCTCTACTTCCCGAGAGCGCAGCCCAATGCCGCGCCGCGCCCCGCCCGCGAAGTCAGCCTTCCCGATCCACTGCCGGCCTCTCTCGCATGCGCTGGGCCCTCTTGTAGCTGATGGTGTACATCTGGTTCCAAACCTTCTCGAGCAATAACAAAAACCGTAACGGGAGGTTTCTCGCCATTTTCGGCCTCTGGGGGACCTCGCCGGGCTTCGGGACCGTCAAAACACGACTCAGGATGAGAAGCAAGTCCTGGGGAAGGGGTCCAAACCTCTGGGGGTCGACGTCTTGAAAAAATCATGACGTCGGGGTCGGAGGTTCCAGGTTGTGCTAATGTCGGCTTTTGTCCCCCCCACTTGCTCGCGCACATCTGGCGCTGGACCACCCCCTCGAGCCCATGATCTCCGTCTCGGCTTGGGTGACCATGGCCCTCTGGGCCTTCGCCTCTCAGGGGAAACGCATTTTTCGTCTCAGCGTGGCAGAGGCAATCCGCACGCGCGCTCTACTAGCGCGGGGCATGTCGTACTAATTGTCCGCGGGTGCGAGGGAGGGAAGGAGGTGGAGGGTGGCCGCGGAAAGCGGGCGGGGGAGGAGGGCGTTCACCGCACGAACAGCTTCGGCAGGAGTGGCCCAGGCGGCCGGCCGCTTCTGAGGCGGCCTGGCAGTGGACGTGGAGCGGCATCGCGCCCACACCCAGGGGTTGAAGCAACGGCTGCAGGCGCTGAAAGCGTATGCCAAGTCGAACCGGTACAGGAGGGGAGCGGCGAGAGAGCCCGCCGAAGCGGACGGACGGCATTTGGGCGTTCGTTGGGAGGCCGCGGGTGACAGGCATTGCTGCGATACGGCGCCAGCGGGATGCGGGAAGGCCAGCGACCACGGGGCCCAGGCCAGCGACCAGTTCGCTGCGGCAGAATGCTACCAGTGCTGCTATACTGACGCGGTGAGCTGCTGAGAGCAGAGCTGCAGGGCTGCCGACTGCAAGGCCGCCGAGGGCTGCAACGTAGAGCAGCAATTCAGCCGGGGGCTGCTGAGCAGATCGCCAACTACTGAAGTGGCGCAGCGCGGCGAGAAGCCGCTAGCCGTCGCAGGGGGCGCCTGGGCGGCGGCAGGGCGGCGAGAAGCGAGACAGGGAAGGCCGAACCCGACCGGTGCACGCATCACAGCCGGATGTGGCGGGGACGCCCGGCCACAGGGCTGGTGGGGCGGGGGCGCCCCGCTGCCGGAGCAGCGGGGCAGGGGCGGGGAGGGGCGGCCGACCCGGCTGGTGCGCGCAACATAACTGGGAGAGCCAGGGACGCCTGGCCGCAGGGCCAGCCAGACACGGGCGCCCAGCTGCAGGAACAGCGGGGCAGGCGACCCGGCGGAGCCGGGGAAGTTCCCCCCAATGCGCAGCAGCCAAGGGCCGCCTGGGGCGGCACCGGCGGGACGCACGGCCTACGGGAGGCAGCGGCGGGAGGCGGCACCAGAAGCGGCACAGGGGCCACGCCCAGGACTTTCCTGGCCCGTCCCGGCAAAACGAGAGTACTTCGTCAGCAAGGGGCACAGCATCACCCAAACCACTGATCCACCCAATGTGTCATTGAACCCCGCACCTGATTGCAGCAGCCACCTGGGGGGAGCGCTCCAGTCGAGACGCGCGAACGCCAGTGGCAGCGCCCATCTGGGGGTGCGCACGCTCCAGCCAGGAGCGAGTGGGAGAATCCACCTGAGGGGTGGACGCTCCCGCGGGGCAGGAGAAGGAGGGCGTGCCACCGCTGGGGTAACACGCGGGAGGAGGTACCTGATCGGTGTTCGAACGATTGGAGGGGCAGGGGGTTTATCTGGGGGGGTAGGCCCAAGGGCACTGCCAGGTTAGGCCCAGAGGCCTTGCGAGTGCCCACGCTGGGAAGCAGGTGCTTGGGGAGGTTGGGGCCAGGTGAGGAGCGTCTTGGGCTGCGGTCGGAATCCACCTTTGTCGCAGGCTGGGTGGTAGGGCGCCCGTAACTGCTGGGAGGCGCCCCTGCGCAATCTGGGCCGCGCAACCTTGCTGCGGGGTGAGCGCCAGGGATGAGAGTCCCCGCGAACGGGACTGGCCCCCGATTGGCCAGGAGGCGCCGGTGGCACGCTTACCTCCCTGGCCTTTCACCCCCGCCTGCATGCGTCTGCTGCTGCCGGTGCTGGCGCCATACGTCGGCCCAGTCGGAATATATGCGCCGGTGCCAGCAGTAGGCCCGTATGTCGTAGTAGGAGTCGCACAGGTCGGCCAGGAACTGCCTGCAGAACTCGTCCCAACCGCCAGGGTTGTAGCGCCCCTTGCCCCTCGCCTTGCCGTCACGACCGTCCCGCTCGTCTCAAGCCTGGTTCCAGCCTTCCCCAAGCATCGCCCCGCAGGTACTCTCGAGGCGGCTGGTGAGCTCCGGCCAGGTGTCCTGGCGCCACTTTCTCTGGTTCCGTTGCGGACTCCAGCGGGTGTCTCACCGAGGCACGCGGTAGAGGCTGTCGTGCGGGTCGTCCTTGTCGTGCCGGTGGTAGACGGAGTCGTTCTCCCAGCCGTGGGCACTCGCGGCTGGGGTGCTGCCCCAGTAGGACGAGGAACTATCTCCAGGTGCTGTCGGAAGGTCCGCCTCCGCTGCCCTTGTTCCAGCTGGACCAGTCAGCATCACGGTAGCGAGCTGCGCGCCAGGTTGAGGCGTCGGTGGGCGCTTGGCCCGCGTCGTCTTCCTGGCCAGCGTGGCCTGTCTGGGTGACACCTCCCGTTGGGGCGTTGTCGTCGACTGCGCTGTTGGCGGGGCGGCCGCCGTGAATGATCCAGGCGAGGTGCGTGCAGTCCGCTCCGTCCCAGACCGTGACCCAGTCGCCCCCTATTCTGGCGCAGGGTCGCCGCCCTGTGCGGACCTCATCCACAAGCCCTATCACCGAGCCAGGCGGAAGGTCGGGCTAGAGTCGCTTCCCAGTCTCGTCAGCCTGTGCGTGCCAGCGCGCGGGGCGAGCGCCAGTGCCGCCCTTGGCCATTAGGCAGTGGCCTGCCCGCACGTCGGGCGCGATGCCACCGTGCTGCTGCGAGGCGCTTGGTCTGCTGGCGGGGACGAACCCGAGGCGGTGCTCGTCAGCCGTCCTGGCGCCCCCCTGCTAGTCGAGGTTGTCGCCTGCGCCCGCGACGCTCCTGCCATCCTGGTCATGGGGGCTGGGCGGGCGCGAGGTGTCCCTCCCCTCCGCCGCCGCCTTCGCCGTCGCTCCAGCCGGGGGTGGCGCTGCGCTGCTCGATGCCCGCCTGCTCGACCAGGGCAGGGGTGGCCTCGCCCTTGGTCCTTCCAGGGGCGGAGCCTTCGGTTTCCCTCCGCCGAGGTCCTCTAGGTGGACGGGCCCGACATGCTGCGCCGGGTTCGCTGGGGGGCCGGCGCCTGCACCCACTGGGTGCGGGAGGATGTGGTCCCCAACGGCGTCGCCCGCCGCTTGCTCTCGCAGCCCGCCCGCGGATGTTGTCTTGGTACTGGAGTCTGTCGCTTCCTGGCCCGGGGTCGGACGCCGATAATAGGCGAGCAAGGGGGCGTCCAGGGCTCGAAATCCCTGGTTCGCCAGGAAGGATGCCAGGACATGCCCGTCGTACCTGGGCGGGTCGGTGCCACGTAGGGCCGTACGGGACCCTAGGAAGTGCTCCCTCGCAGGCCTCGGGTTGTTGGCCCTGGCGGCCTCCTGCTTCTTCCTGCCCTTGGTCTGCGTGAGCCAGGCGACGACATGAGCCAAGGCGGCCCGCCTCTACTTCTTCTCGCTTCGCTGCCTGCTGCCACTGTTCGCACCTCTGCCGCTCTCCTGACAGCACTCGCACCGCTGCCTGCTGCCACTGCCAGCTTTCCTCGCACGCGCTGGTCTATTTTGACAGGCGGCCCGAAGGACGCTTTGCCCATAACTGGGGAGAATTGGCGAAGTACAGTATGTTTTGGCCACAAGGGTACGCTGACTAGCATCTCCTTGCCGACGGGGAAATAATCGCTGTGCTGCCACGCGCGCATAGAATCCGCTGCGAACGGGCCGAACTCCTGGGCAGTGCAGTCGACGTGGTACCAGCCCGGAGCTTTTCCAGCCGTGGAGGTGGCTGTTTCTGGCTCCTCCGCCTCCTCCTCTCCTCGTCTTCACCGCTGCCGGCTGCCACTGCCGATTCCTCACGCACGCTTTGGATCGCGCATGTAGCTGATGACGACTGTAGCCCATCTGTATCAACGCTGCCTGCTGCCACTGGTGCTGCCTGCCCTTCTCGCCTGCGTTGAGCTGTAGCTCCGCTGCAACTGCCGCTGCCGCTGCCGCTGACGGCTCTTCTCGCACCACTGCCTGCTGCACCACTGCCAGTTGCATTGCAGCGCTGCCTACTCTGCCTCTTCTAGCATCACTGCCTGCTCCCACTGCTGGATCTTCTCGCACCACTGCCAACTGCCACTGCTGGCGTTCGATGGTCTTGCGCATCGCGAGGAAGACCTCCCGCGCCCGCTTGGCCATCTCGAGGAGGTTTGTGGCCCACTTCGTGCTCCGTTGACTGCTGCCACTGCCATCCCTTCTCGCACGCAACGCTCCTTGCTGGTGAAGGTTTGAGCCCACTGTGCGCCCTCTGATTGCTGCCACTGCCGGCCCTGGACGCACGCATGGCCCCGAGCTTATAGCTGATGGTGGCCGTGGCCCACTGTGTGCTCCGCTGGTAGCAGCAGCTGCTGCCTCTTTTCGTGCGCAACGCTCCGAGCCTGTAGTTGGTGACGGTTGGGACCCAGTGCGCGCCACACACTACCTGCTGCCACTGCTGGCCCTTCACGCACGCACGGTTCCGAGCTTGTAGTCGATGACGTCTGCGGCCCACTGTGTGCCCCGCTTGCTGCTGCCACTGCCGCCATTTCTCGCACGCAGCGCTCCAAGCCTGTAGCTGGTGACGGTTGGGACCCACTGCCGGCCCTATCGCACGCACGACTCCGAGCCTGTAGCCGACGACGGCTGAAGCCCACCGTGCGCTCCGCTCGGATGGCTGCTGCGTTTGCTGCCTCTTCTCGCCCGCGCGTCCCTGAGACTAGCCGATGAGGCCTGGAGACCGCTGTGCCCCCCCGCTGTTTGCTGCCGTTGCCGCCTGTTCTCGCAAGCACGGCTCCGAGCCTGCCCACTGTTCTTGATCATGTGAGGGCCTTTCGTACTCTTGGCAGGCGGTTTCCAGACAGTCCGGCGTCCAAGGGTGGCCCCAGCTGGGGTCCCCAGCAACAAGCAACTTGTTGTCACGGGCGTCGTTTTGGCTGACACTATTCGGGGTGAAGTCGGGAGCGTCAGGATTGTGTTGCTATGCTGTCTTTCTTGCGTGAGTGTGAGGCAAACGAGAAACATCGTGAGGAGAGCTATCTGAAGGCGACTGGCAAGTTCGTGCTCAACCTTGCCGACCTGCTCCCACGCAGTGTATAGGCCTTCGAACCTTCTTCTCCAGACGATCCCCTGCTGCACCGCACTGTCCGCTGCCTTGATGGCTCGATGTTTGCCGCTTCCCTGGGATCCATGGCGGCGTCGTGGTCGATGCCGACTGGGCGCGTAGGGCCAGCCCGCGCGGCCGCCCTCCGGCGGAGGGGCCGCGGTTCGGGCCCCCGATGGCCCTGCTCCTCCTCCTCCTCCTCCTCCTCTTCCTCCTCCTTCTTTTCCTCCTCCTCCTCCGCCTCCTTCTTTTCCTCCTCTTCCTCCTCCTCCTCCTCCTCCTCCTCCTCCTCCTCCTCCTCCTCCTCCTCCTCCTCCTCCCCCTCCTCCCCCTCCTCCTCTTCTCCCTTCCCCTCCCCCTTCCTGCCTTCTCTCTGCTCGCCCTCCTCCTCCTTCGCCCCCCTTCCTCCTGGGGGGTGCCGGGAGGCGGCCCGACTGCCCTGGAGGACGGTTGTCTCCGACTCTGACTCCCGCTCCGACCGCGCTTCCTGGCCGACCCCGCGACAGGCTGATGGCCGACGTCTTCCGGGCCCACAAGCGCTCCCCGTTCCTGGTGCTCTTCGGCCGGGTGGTCTGGTGCGTCGGGGAGTTCCTCCAGGCGCAGGAGGAGGAGGAGAAGGCGGAGGCGGAGGAGGAGGAGGAGGAGGAGGAGGAGGAGGAGGAGGAGGAGGAGGGGGAGGATGAGGAGGAGGAGGGGGAGGAGAAGGAGGAGGAGGAGGAGGAGGAGGAGGAGGAGGAGAGGAGGAGGAGGAGGAGGAGGAGGAGGAGGAGGAGGAGAGAGGAGGAGGATGAGGAGGAGGAGGAGGAGGAGGAGGAGGAGGAGGCGGCCCGACCGACCCCTCTGCAGTGATGGCCCTCCAGGCGCACCTGCCGGGGCTGGTGGACTCTGGGCTCCGGCGCGACCTGGAGGAGATCCGCGCAGGGGGCACCCGGCTCACCACCACCGTGCCTTGGCCAGGGCCAGCCTGCCCCGACGTGCTCGCGCGCGTCGTAGCGAAACTCACGGCGGCGGGGTTGTGGCCATCCTCGGCCTCCAGGGGCCCTCGCCGGGCCCCGGGGCCGCCAACGAAGCTGATCGGGAGGGGTCCCAGGGGACGCGTCAGGACTTCTGGGGAGCCCGTATGTAAGAACACACCAGGACATCGCGTGTCTGCGTGGGCCTCAGGACGGTGTGTAGATCGAAGGAGAGAGAGAGAGAGAGAGAGCGGCATGAACATGAGCTCTCAGAGGCCCGCGCGGGTAACGTGGGCTGGCGCTGGACTCCTCTTCCTCGTCCTCCTCCTCCTCCTCTTCCTCCGTTCCTTTTCCTTATACATAACTTCTCCCTGTCGCACCCCGAGGCTAGTTTTTAGGGCGGGCCGGGCGTTTCGCCTGAGACTTCCTCCCCTGAAGCTTAGAAAGGGACAGCAATTTCACATCTGGAGGGCGGCTGGTTTTAAAATGCGGCTCTCGCCTTAGCGCCGCGCACATTTGCTTTACAAATTTACAAGAGTTTCACGTATTGAGGGCGTGTCTTTTTCAAAATGTGGCTCTCGCTTTAGCGCCGTGCGCATTCATTTAAACAATATGCAAAGAGTTTCACGGATTGAGGGCAGGTGGTTATCAAAATGTCGCTCTCGCCTTAGCGCCGCGCAAATTCGTTTGACAAATTACAGAAGTTTCACGGATTGAGGACGGGTCTTTTTCAAAATGTGGCTCTCGCTTTAGCGCCGCGCGCATTCCTTTTAAACATTTGCAAGGGTGCAGAGATTTGCGCAAGAGTTTCACGTATCCCCATGGTCAATGTACCAGAAATGGTGTTTTGGACGGATTCAGGATTATATGGGTGCAACAGTTATGTTGATTCGTTGTGTTGAAGTCGCAGAAATGCGTTCTGGCACGATTCCAGATCGTCAAGACGCAGCAGTCAGGTTGATCCGTGGCGTTGAAATCCCGAGAACAATGTTTTGGCATGCTTCAGGATCTTCACACGGTTGTCTTCCAACGAGGCAGTTCCCTCAATGGAAATGAGACGTTGTAGGGGCCTCTGAAGAGGGAGCTTGGCGGAGGTTAAATTCCAACATCGTTGATGACTCTTGGGTTTACACTGGTCCTCCTCCTTCTTCTCCTCTCTCCCCGCGCCGGGCGGGGAAGGGATGCGGGGATGGGGGTCGGCGCCGACCTAAGAATGCCGCGCGGACCTCCGGAAGCCTGCGCTCGTGCCGCTGCTCCAGATGGTGTGCAGACCCTCCTCGGCGGCGCGCCCAGGGGGGACGTGCGAGTCTCAGAAGACGGCGGTGCTCCCCAGAAGCCCTCCTCCTCCTCCTCCTTCTTTTCCTCCTCCTCCTCCGCCTCCTTCTTTTCCTCCTCCTCCTTCTCCTCCTTCTCCTCCTTCTCCTCCTCCTCCTCCTCCTCCTCCTCCTCCTCCTCCTCCTCCTCCTCCCCCTCACCAGCGGCCGGGCTTGTCAGAAGCCCTCCGGCCCACTGAGAAGCGGCCTGCGCCTTCGGAGAAGGCCCAGGCAGCCCCTCGGGAGGCCCTCGGATCAGACTTTGACTGGAGACCGTTTTTTTGAATCGGCTCGGCGATAACCCGGGTTATCCGGGGGGGAGGAGGGGGCGGGCCGATAACCTAACCTTCGCGCTGTGGGTAGCCCTGCATATGCCCGCGCACCCCCCGCCCCAGACCTGCACAACCGGCAAGGTTAGGTTATCCTAGGCCAGGGGGGGGAGGGGGGCAAGCTCGATAACCCGGGTTATCGCCGGACCCTAAAAAACAGTCTCCAGCTTCTCGGAAGGCCAGAGGCCTTCTGAGTCTTCTGAGAAGGCCCGCCCCTTCCTCCAGGCCTCCCAGGGGTCCGAGCAGATGGGGTCGGAGGATTGTGTGACGCATCGCCGATGCATCGGCGATGTGGCTCGATGTGGCGCCCGATGTTCTCCACGCCGATGTCGCCGATGCATCGCCGACGTCGCCGATGCATCGCTGGTGCATCGCTGATGCATCGGCGATGCAGCGCGATCCTCCGACCCGGGATCCTGCCTGAGCCTCTGCCTTCGCCTCTGGGCTCGCCGCCAGCCCTGGGCCTCGGCGAGGAAGGCGAACATACCACGCCAGCGGCCCAGGACGGCCCCAGCCAGGTGCGGAGGTGGTGGTATGCAACCGGCGCCCCCCCCTGCGCCAGGAGATGCGCGGCGCCGGCAGGCGACAGGCCACGCTTGGGTTCCCATGAACCCAGTCGAAGACACCACCACCCTAGACTAGCTCAGGCATGCCCAGCACGACCATGCCCCAAAACGACCACACAAAAGACGACCGCCCCAGACTCGTTCGGGCATGCTCGAAAGCAGGAGCACTTGGGATGCCAGCGTGCCCTTCTGACACACCCCCAGCGACCCCACATGCCCGCCTCAACGCACGCAGGCCTCATTTGAGCGACGCCAAAAAACGGGGTCGTCTGCGCCGACATTGGCGCGTAAGCTGCCCGCGTCAGGTTGCGCGTAGGCGCCCTGGTTTCAAATGTGGCGTGCCGCGCGGGCGGCTCGCGTAAGCCACCGCGTAAGGTCCCTGCGCCATCTCGCGTGAGACCCGCTTTTGATCGTCGCTCATCTGGCCGCCCAGAGCTTTCCAAAGAAGCAAAGGGAGCCCGAGGCCACGCGCATGGACGACGGCCTCTTCGCGCAGGAGGTGCGGGCGCACGCGCCCAAGGTCCAGGCCTGGCTCGCGGGCCTCCGCGTGGCCAGCGGCGCCGGCAGCGTCGGGCAGGTCCTGAAGGACTCGCCATGGCGCGACTGGGTCCCTCCTCCTCCTCGTCCTCCTCCTCCTCGTCCTCCTCCTCCTCGTCCTCCTCCTCCTCCTCCTCCTCCTCCTCCTCTTCCTCCCCCTCCTCCGCCTCCTCCTCCCCCTCCTCCTCCTCTTCCCGAAGAGCGTTTCGCCAGAGGGCTCTCATGAGAGGACCACGGCAGAGTCCCACCGGGGGGACAGGCAGCCCGAGACCCCCCGGGGCGGCAGCGGGCCGGAAGCCGTTTCGCCCGAGACTTTCTCACAGCTCACAGGCCCAGGCGACCACGATCCCTGGTGCAGGAGACACCCCACCGCGCCCATGGCCGTGCCCCCGCCCCTGTCCTGGCTGCATCTCTCCGAGGGGTCTCTGTCGGGGGCGGCCACGAGGGAGGTGGTGACTACAGTTAAGTCGGGCCTGTCCCTCTACAGGGAGGAATATTCCAAAATAGTTACAAAATAGTCGGGGGACCTTTTTTTGTATTTGTTTGCTATTTTGGGTATTGTTTGGGGTACTTTCAATTTTTCGCCCGAAATCCCCCTGTAGGGGGACAGGCCCGACTTAAGACTACAGTCAACCCGCATCATAAGGATGGGCAACCTTCCCAAGGGTACCTTGACATCCTTGCCTCCTCGACCCATCCTTGGCGACTTCCATTGGCCGCGCCCCGCGCGAAAGCTGCGAAATTGCCTCCCAAGGCCCTTGCGTCCTTATCGCGCATCCTTGCGATACGGGCCGACTGCAGGGTGGGTGGATACCATGGCCATGGCCCGGATTTCATGGCCCCTCTTCGTATTTCAACGCGTCCCCTGGCCCCCGCCCCTGGGCCCTGCACATGCCTGGGGGCATGATTTGCCCCCCCCCCCCCCCCCCCCCCCCCCCCTCCCCACACACCCCCTCTTGGACGCCTCCCTCTTAGATGCAAGTCGGGCGTGTCCCACGAGGAATATCCAAAAATAGTAAAAATCAATTTGGGGACGATTTTTCGATTATTTATACACAGTTTTTGTTATTTATTGAATATTTGTATTTTCATTTTTCTTTCGAAATTCGCCTGTAGGGGGACATGCCCGACCTAATCTTCGATGCCCCCTCACTCTAGGAATGTCTCATCTCGGAATGCGCAGTCTCTCCAGCCGAGCTGCTCCTCGACCCGCGCTGCCATTAGGGTGCTCTGCCGAGCTGATTTTGTCGTCGTCGAGCTCCCGGGGCCCTCCACGGGCCCCAGGACAGTCAGAGAACGGCTCAGGACGAGGAGCTGGTCCTGGAGGGAGGCCAGAGGGAAACGGGTCCGGAGGCTTTTCGCCTCTCTGGGCCTCTGTGCGGGCCCTCCCTGGGCCCCAGGCTTGCCACAAGACGATTTGGGAATCTTTGGGACGAGGTGCTGGTCCTTGTCGGGACGACCGACATGGGTACGGAAAGAATGGGTACAATGCCCAACAGCAGTTCCTGTTCATTTTGAACAGGGCTCGCTGTCCGCGCCGCCGCGGCTTGTGTCCATTTGAGACAGAAGGCCGCCTGCCCAACAGCGGCCGCTGTTGGTTTGGACAACATTTGTTGTTGGGCATTGTACCCATTCTTTCTGTACCCAGTTCGGGCGTCCAGCGCTGGGGGAAGTCCCCCACGGGGGTCCAGGACCTGTTTTTTTTCGGGACCTGTCTGCCTCGCGCCGGAGCACGGGCGCCGCACCCAGAGCCAGGCTCGAGCCGTCCCGCTCTCGGGTGCAAGTGTCCTTGCGACCCAAAAGGGGGTCCAGCTGAAAGGAGGTGGTGCAATAGATTTGGGGCAATTGTATTGCAAATGTACTGCGCCAAAGAATTGTATTGCATTGTATTGCAACTAATGTACTGCACTCGAAATCCAGCAATACATTTGTGCCCCCGAATATATTGCACGCCCCAAATCTACTGCAACACCACAAATCTATTGCACCAAATCTATTGCACCATCCCATTGTCGCTGGACCCCCTTTTGGGTTAACCCGAAAGTGTCAGCCCCAGCCCCCCCACGGACACGTCAGTGCAGGAGTGAAATCAGGCCTATCCCTCTACGGGAGGAGTATTCCAAAAGAGTCAAAAAATAATCAGGAGACGATTTCTGGATTATTTTTGAGCATTTTTTGAATCTGTTTTTGGGGACTTTTGGGTATTGTTAACTTTTCGCCCAGAATGTTTGATTATTTTTTGGGTATTGGCGACTTTTCGCCCAAGATCCGCCTGTAGGTGGACAGGCCCGACGTAGTGCAAGAGCCGCCTGTGCGATTTCTCTCTTTGCTCCGCCGCTCGGTGCCCGGTATGCTGGTTTTTCCTGTCTATGGCGGCGGGCGGGGATGTGGCTGGAGCTTCTCATTGCTGCCGTCCGCCCCCATCGTTTCTCTCTCCCCCCAAAAAAATCAAGGGAAGAAAGAAACCACCCGGACCCTATCATTGGCGTTTGCTGAACGGCCCTGGGCGTTTGCTGAACGGCCCTGGGCGTTTGCTGTCCGCTCCCATCTTCTCTCCGTCCCCCCAAAAAATCGGGGGCGGCCAACAGGGGGGTGATGACCAGGGGGGGTGGATCTCATGGCGGGGGCCATGATATTTCCGTCAGATTTCATGGCGTCGCTTCTTATTTCATTACGTCCCTGGGCCCCCCCTGGGCCGCGCACATGCCGTCGGCCATGATTTGCGCCCCCCTCCCCCCCTGGACGCCCCCCTCTTAGCCGCCCCCGGAAGAAAAACCACCCGGACCCGATAGTCGGCGTTTGCTGAACGGCCCTGGGCATTTACGAAGCAGCCCTACCCTGTTCGATTCCCTCCTTGGGCGCGCTTGCCACACGGCTTTGCTCGTCGGGATGGTCGTTATTGGGGGTGGATTTTTTGGCCCTCTATATAAAATAACAGTAGGGGAACATAATGTGACATAAGCATAAAGACTCGGAGGTCCGCGCAGATTTTTCGAATCGGCGCTGGGGCCCCCCCGGCGGCGCCTCCGGCGCCGCCCTTAGCGCGCTCCGCGCGCCAGGGAGGGTGGTCCAGCGCCGATCCAAGAAATCCGCGCGGACCTCCGAGTTTTTATGTTTATGTGACTTTTTTGTTCCCCTAAACTTAAGTCGGGCCTGTCCCCCTACAGGGGGATTTTCGACGAAAAAACAAGAAATACCCCCAAAATAGTCAAAAGATCATCCAACAATAGTCTGGGGACTATTTTTTGAATATTTTGTTTGGCTTTTTTGGGCATTTTTTGGGTATTTCTTTATTTTTCGTCGAGAATCCCCCTGTATGGGGGACAGGCCCGACATAACCCTAAACAGAGGACGAGCACCGCACCCTCCTGCGGGGCCTGGTCTACGCCCGGCGCCTCCGCGCCGTGCTGGAGGAGTACCTGGTCCTCCACGTCTGCCAGGGCGTGCCCGTGCCGCGCCGCGGCGTGGAGCCCGTGGGCCTGGCCCTGCGGCTGCTGAAGGCCATCGAGGCCGCCGGGGGGCACCCCCTTTCGGGGGGGAGTCCTTCTGGGGGGCGTGGGCCCGCAGGGGGGGGGCAGGGCTCACCTCCACCCCTCCGGCCCGATTCGCTTTCGACTCCGACTCCGCTTCCGCGCCCGATTCGGTTCGACCTCGGAGTCCTCGACTCGGGCTTCGGCTTCTCCAGAGGGATTTGGATCTCGGCTTCTCGGGAGGCCTTCCAGACTCCCGATTTCCGCCGATTCAACTTCTCCCGGCTTGGCTGCCGATTTCCGCCGATCCGATTCATGTCGATCGCCGACTGGGATAGCCCACCCCGCCCTCCTGCTACTTATACTCTCTCTCGTGCTCCATCCTCCTCCCTCCCCCTTGTCGCTTCCTTCCATCCGTCCTCTCTTCCCCTCTAAGAGGCTGCACGAAATATACGCTGAAGGTAAGAAAGAGCTACCCCTAAGGAGATACGACGGAGGACGGAGAGGGCGGGTATCGAGGGTTTAGGATATACGCGTTGAATGGCTCGCGGGCAGATAAGAGCGAGCAGTCTTAAAATCATTGTTGAATTTTCATTTCTGAAGACTAATTGTTGTTGATCCCCCCTCCGGTAACCATTGTATTCTTCAATTGAAGTGCTTCTCCTGGGGCTCGCACCATGGTTTCTACAAGGGAAAGTAGGGGGTCACCAAACTGCGTTGTTGGGCCCTGGTTCACAACAACAGCGGCTCCCGCCTGATACTTCCTAAGAATTGATTCCAACGTCGCGCTCTCGCGCGGGTCTTCCTCACAATTTTTGCAGGAATTGTGCTCTCACGTGGGACATCCTCGCAATTAATTCAGACGCCGCGCCCTCGACACTCAGGAATCACGCTCTCGCTGCGGATTGCCTTACGATTCATTTGGGAATCGTGCTATTGCTCGTGACTTCCTCGCGATTCATGCAGGACGCACGCTTCAGCAACCCGCCTGCTCGACCTGGCCGCCTGGGCCCGCCTTCCCGACCCGCCCGTTAAGGTCTACCCGCCCGATCTGCCCATTTGGTTCTGCCACGTGCTTTCTGCTCGGAGGTGCGATCGAAGACGAAGAGGGCGGGTACCGATGGCTTGAGATATACGTGTTGAATGACATGCGAGCAGATCAGAGAGAACAGTCTTAAAATGATTGTTATTGTTGTTGCTGGTCCTGTTGCTGTTGATGTTGCTGTTGCTGTTGTTGCCGAATATTACAAATTTCACTTCAAGTTGAGCTCGATTTGGAAGGACCCGTGATTGTTCGAACGTAGTTGGAGTTCGAACTTGAAGGGTCTGAGGCGCCCCGAACTCAATGTGAGTTCGAACCGACGCGGGCCCTTCAAAGTGTATTCCAAATTGAGTTCGAACCGACTGGAGCCCCGCATGTTATGACTTGATTTTAATTCAAGCTTGAAGGGCATGAGTCGGTTCGACCTCAATTTGGGTTCGAACCGACGCGAGTCCTTCAAATTCGAACTCAAAGTGAGTTCGAGCCGCCTCGAGCCCTCCAGGTTCGAGCTCAACTTGGCCTCGAGCCCTGCTGGTTCGAAATCAATGTGAGTTCGAATCGACGCGAGCCCATCAAGGTCGAACCCCCTGCAGGTTCGAAGTCGATCGGAGTTCGAACTTGCAGGGCCCCGGGTGGTTAGAATTCAAGTTGAGTTCGAGCCGACGCGAGCCTTCCAAGTTCGAATTCAAAATGAGTTCGAACCGCCTCGAGCCCTGTAGGTTCGAGCTCAACTCGGCCTCGAGCCCGGCAGGTTTGAACTCAAATTAAGTTCGAACCGCCTCGAGCCCTTCAAGTTCGAACTCTCATTGATGTCGAACAGCATCAAGCCCTGCAGGTTCGGAATCACTTTGGGCCCGTCAAGTTCGAATTCAAATTTTGTTTCGAACCGCCTCGAGCCCTGCAGGTTCGACCGCAATTTTTCTTCGAACTTGAATGGCTCGCGTCGGTTCGAACTGCTGAGTTCGAACCTGCAGGGCCCGAGGCGGTTCGAACGACCCTTAATTCTAATTTCAATTGAGTTCGAGCCGCCTTGAGCCCTGCAAATTAGAACTCATCATGATTTCGAACTTGACGGGCCCGAGGCGGTTTGAATTGAAAGTGTATTCGAACCGCCTCGAGTCCTGCAGTTGCAAACCCAAACTGAGTTCGGACCGCCTCGATCCCTGCATGTTCGCACTCAATGTGAATTCGAACTTGAAGTGCCAGAGGCGGTTCAAATTCAATTTGAGTTCGAACCGACGCGAGCCCTTCAAGTTAGAATTCGAATTGAGTTCGAACCGCCTCGAGCCCTGCAATTTCGAACCCAATTTGAGTTCGAATTTATATTGAGTTCGGCCCGCCTCGAGCCCTGAACGTTAGAACTCAATTTGAGTTCGAACTGGAATGGCCCAGGGCGCCTCAAACTCTGAGTTCGAAAAGACGCGAGCCCTTCAAGTTCGAACTCGAATTGAGTTCGAACCGACACCAGCCCTTCAAGTTAGAACCCAAGCTGGGATCGGATGCCTCGAGCCCTGCAATTTCGAATTCAATTTGGGTTCGAACTTGCAGGGCTCGAGGCGGTCCGAATTCGACTTGAGTCTTGACTGACGCGAGCCCTTCAAGCTCGAACTCAACTTGAGTTCGAACCGACGCGAGCCATTCAATCTCGAAGTTAAACTGAGTTCGAAGCGCCTCGAGCCCTGCGGGTTCGAAGCCAAATTGATTTCGAGCCGGTGTGATCCCTTCGAGGTACGTTTCACATTGAGTTCGGACCGCTGCGAACCCTGCGAGTTCGAACTCAATCTGAAGTGGAACTTGACGGGCCCGAGGCGGGTCGAACCGAATTTGAGTTAGCCGACGCGGGCCCTGCAAGCTAGAACCCAAGTTGAGTTCGGACTGACGGCTGGACCGAGGCGTTTCGAGTTCAATTAGATTTCGAACCGATGCGAGCCCTTCAAGTTAGACCTGCAATTGAGCTCGAACCGCCTCGAGCCCTGCAAATTATAACTCAATCTGAATTTGAACTTGAGGGGCCCGGGGCGGATCGAACTCAATTCGCGTTCGAACCAACGCGAGCCCTTCAAGTTCGAATTGCAATGGAGCTGGGACCGACGCGAGCACTACAAGTTAGAATTCAAGTTGATTTTGAACCGTTGCTGGCCCTATGAATTAAAGCTCAAATTGGAGTTCGAACTGGAAGGGCTCGAGGCGGTTCGAAGTCAATTTGGCTTCGGACCGACGCGAGCTCTCCAAGTTCGAACTCGATTAAGTTCGAACCGCCTCGAGCCCTGCAGGTTAGAACTCACATTGAGTGCGAACCGCCTCGAGCCCTGCAAGTTCCGAACTCCATGCGAGTTCAAACTTACAGGGCCCGACGCGGTTCGACCTCGCTTCAAGTTATGATTCAAGTTGAGTTCGAACCGCGCCGAGCCTTGCGAGCTAGAGCTCGTGTTGAGTGCGGTTTTGAAGGGCCCGAGGCGATTCAAATTCAATTCGTTTTCGATCCGACGCGAGCCCTTCAAGCTAGAGCTCAAATTGAGTTGGAACCGCCTCGGGCCCTGCAAAGTATACTTCAGCATGTGCTCGAAATCCAAGGGGCCGAGGCGGTTTGAGTTCAATGTGATTCCAACCCGGGTCGAGCCCTTCAAGTTCGAACTCGACTTGAGTTTGAATCGCTTCGATCCCTGTAAATTAGAATCCTTTAGGAGTTCGAGCTGTAAGGGCCCGATGCGACGCGAGTCCTTCAAGGAACTCAAATCGAGTTCGAACTGCCCCGAGCCCTGCGAGTTATGTTTCAATTTGAGCTCGAACTTGACGGGCCCGATGTAGTTCGAACTCAATGTGAGTTCGAACCGACGCGAGCCCCTCAAATTAGAACTCAAATAGAGTTCGGCCCGCCTCGAGCCCTTCAATTTCGAACTCAAATTGAGTTCGAATCGCCTCGATCCCTGCAGGTTAGAACTCAACATGAATTCGAACTGGAGGCCCGAGGCGGTTTAATGTCAAAGTGGATTCGAACCGCCTCGAGCCGTGCAGGTGCAAACTCAAATTGTGCTCGAACCGCCTCGGGCCCTGCAGGTTAGATCCCAATTTGAGTTCGATGATGCTCCTGATGGGCGATGATGAAGATGTGCCTTTGACGTCGAAAACCACAGCCCAATCGATCGGGTCGATTGTCCAAAGAAAGTTCGCGATGCCGAGAGCCAGTCCTCGAACCTCGATCCTCGAGCCTCGATCCTCGAACCTCGAGCCCAGGCGGGTCCCGCCGCCCCGCGGTGGAGCGACCTGTCGGTGCTCCTGCAGCACCGCACGGCCGTGCGCGTGCGGGCGGAGGTCGAGGACGCCCGCAAGAAGGCGGGGCGGCGGGCGCCACAGTCGCTGCGCCAGGCGCTGGACGCCGTGTCGGCGGCTCTGCACGAGGTCCTCGCCAGCCCCCCACGCCTGAGGAGGAGGGGGATGATGGTGGTGGTAGTGATGGTGATGGTGATGGTGATGGTGATGGTGATGGTGATGGTGATGGTGATGATGGTGATGATGATGATGATGATGATGGTGGTGGTGATGATGATGATGCTGATGGTGATACTGATGATGATGATGATGCTGATGATGACGATGATGCTGATGATGATGATGATGATGATGATGATGAAGATCATGATGATGACGACGACGATGATGATGATGATGATGAGGATGATGATGATGATGATGATGATGAGAAACATGATGATGCTGCTAATGCTGATGATGATGCTGATGATGATGATGAT